GATAATATATTCTAGCTTCTTCCTTGGACATGAGCAAATTCCTTTAGCACTAAGGAAACTGAGCTTCCATAAAGTAAGAGATTGCCGATTTAGTAAAAGAATCTCATTCCTGCGCCTGCCCCGTCCAGCACTAATCTCCTAGGCCATCATGCCCCTGTCCAGGAAAGGAAAAGGAAAGATAATACGCAGCCTTTGAAAGAGTGGTGAGATCTCAAGCATTTGAATAGCAAACATTTCCTTAATATCCAAAAGAAGGGAAAGACTGGATTTGTATGGCTGTTAAAAGTCAGTAAGGAAGTGTATTAACATAGTTCATACTGAGGTAGAAGATGAAGAAACGTTAACAACACAAATTCTTGATTTTTCTCGTATCTTGCACTTCTGGGGAGTCCTCATTTTGTTAAACATCGGATTCATTTATTCAATTTCATACATAAATAATGCATTTTGAGAGGGCAATTTTCATTCTTTATATTTATATTCTATCATTTTTTACTTATTTATTCAAATAGCACTAGGGAAAAAGCAAACTCTTGTGTTTTTGCCACTTTTTTTTTTTTTTTTTTTGAGACAGAGTCTTGCTCTATCTCCCTGGGTAGAGTGCAGTGGCGTCATCACAGCTCACAGCAACCTCAAAATCCTGGGCTCAAGTGATCCTCCTGCCTCAGCCTCCCGAGTAGCTGGGACTACAGGCCCACACCATGATGCCTGGATAATTTGTCTATTTTTTTAGAGACAGGGTCTCACTCTTGCTCAGTCTGGTCTCAAACTCCTGAGCCCAAGTGATCCTCCTGCCTAGGCCTCCCAGAATGCTAGGATTACAGGCATGAGCCACCACACCTGGCTTTGTTTCCTCCACTTTTTAAAGCAATAAATGTTAGTTGTAGCCCATGTGCCAGAAACTAACTGAAAAACACTGTATGCAAAGTGAGTACGCAAAGAGCATGCAAAGATGAAAAACACAATGCCCATGCCTTAAAGAATGTAGGAGGGTGATAGCAAGAGTGGTTAGAACATAGGAATCAGAGTTAAGAATACTTGGAGGGGATAACATAGGAGGAGCTGATTCTGGAAAAGACCCTGCAGCCTGTATGCCATTCAAAGGAGTTGGAGGCTTCTTATCCAGTGAGCCACTTGAAAGTACGTGGCTAGGGAGAGTCTTAGATAACACTGGAGTATGGTGAAGCTTAGACATGAGATGCACTTGAACTTCTTATCAATAGGAGCTGATGAAAAGAGGAAAGAAGGTTTCCATCAACTTTTTGAGAGAGACAAGGACCTTTAAAAAAATTACTAAAAGGCCAAGGGGTTCCCAATAACTCTCAGCGGGAATAATGTCCCCCCAAAATTCTTTAACAGAAACAGATGCTGACACTTAAGCTTCACCTCAATGAAGTTAACCTTTAAGGGAACTATTAACAGAGAGAATTGTGCTAGGAAATTCCTCGCCATGAGAGAGTTCCCTAAGTCCTTACCTTCTTTACCCCCAACCGCATCTGGCTTCACACTGTATTAAATATTTGCAGGCGCAAATCAAAGATTGAATAATATATTCAATATACTACGAATAAAAACAGAAATGAAGTATACCTAATATGAAGATAAAACATTTCAATATGTATAAAGTAAAATATGCAAAAAAGATAAATATATGTACACAGCAATGCCTTTTTACTAATAAATATAACTAAGAAGAATTATTTAGTACTATAAGAATGGCATCCTAATACTTTGATAATTGCTATATTGTTTCAGCATTTTGATCTAATTTTATTTCTATATTTTATCTAGTTGTTCCTATCCAAAGTTAACTTTACTGTTGCCCCAAGACAGTTCTGTAAATAGGATGAAAATCTCAAAGGCTTTAATTATCTCAGTTAAATAGGAGATACTAGTATTTCTAACACTAGTACTTGAAATCTAATTATAATCCCAAATTAGGCTTTGGATTTCTTTCATCTCTTATAGTTACTGTTTTAAGTGATGCTCTGGAAATTGCACCATTATGAGGCTAGGTGCTGGGATTTAGTATTTATCCAAAAAAGATGAAATGATTTAGGAAGCAGTTAGATAATTAAGCTCATTCAGGTAAGGTGTTTTAAAACTTAATGGACACAATTAAAAAATAAAAGGAGAAAACCAGATTTCTCATTATTTCTTTTCTCAAATTCACAGTTTGCTATATGCCCAACAGCTTTTAAATGATAATATTATATAGAAAGTCTCTTATTACAAACTTAAGGATCCCTGAAAAATAAAACCCACAGATTTCTCATTATTAATTCTTTCTTCAAATTCAACAATGTTCATGCTAGTGTATGTTCTATAGCTTTTAAATGATTAGGAGAAGGATCTTATTACTAATTTTTAGGATTACTGAAATCACATCTGCCATTAAAAGTTAGTGGAAAATTCAAATATTTCTTACAATATACCATTTCAGCTAAGTAGGTGGAATATTAAAAAAATTCAAATCTGCTGGTAAATGTCCTTAAAAATACCCAGTAACTATGGTGAATAAAATCACAATGTACATTGTGTTTTGAATAGAGATGTTCAGTGGACCATTTGCAAACTATCCAAATTTCCCCAGTAAGTGACAGAGTAGCACAGAAGGAAACAATTACTGTAATGTTCTCTATCGGAAAGGAAAAGCACAGCTTTTTACGCAATTCTTTAAATATATAATCTATGTGGGAGCATAGCCAAATATCATAAGGAAAAACTAAATGCCTGCAAGGAAAAGCACGGTGTGGCCTGGGACACTTCCTTTGAAGCCAAACAAACCTAAACCACACCAAGGAAATGCTTCTGCGGTTGCCTCCTCGACAAGGATGGAGTCTGCCTTTCGCCATCTTCATGAATTGACAGATACTTTCTGTGGTCCAGATGCCAGCAGGTTTAGGTGAACCCCACGTCATACTTAGTCCCAGATTCTAGGAAACCGGCTAACGTGCAGCCTTTCCTTTTCCCCGCCTGTTACAGTAGATCCCAGTCTCACAATTTGTTTGTTATAATCCCACAGCACTGCTAGTTCCCCCCATGACAGCTGCAAAACCTCTAGACCTATCGTAAGTTACAGGAATTAAAACTAATCTCGTAATATCTCTCCTGCCCATGCCATGAACTGCTGTTACCAAGCTGGAATAATTCTACCATTCAGTACTCAAAACTCTGGCTTAAAATGGCTCTTTTCTGATGGTAAAATCTGAATCAAGCTGTGACTGCCCAACATCTTTCCCTTTGCTAAGCCACCAGACCTTGGTAGAGGGGAGAAATCCTAATATACAGCCACCCTTTCTTGTCTCTCATTTCGGACATTACGGGTAAAAATGAAATAGACGATTTTCTACTTATCTAAAAACTATGCAAAATCAATTTTTATTCACATCAAGCAGTAGAAGAAATCATGACTTGCATATTATAGCAGTCTGAAAAATTCTCCAGGAGTCATAAATTACATTTCATTTTCAATATGTACAAAGAACCACCCCCAACGGGCAAAAAAAACCAGCACGGAAATGTGTGTAGGGACGGCTTCACTTCTGCGCTGACTGAATACTGATCATGCAATATATTGCCTTTATTAATCTTTTTGTTATGAATAGAATTTTTTGGTAGAAGATAAGGTAGATTTGCCACAAGAAAATGAAACAATCTGTTTTTCAAGCTATTGCTTTTGTACTTGCTTTGCAATTACATACGGACACTTTGTCAAACGTCCTCAGATTCCCCAGTTTGACAAATGATAGTTTACTCCCTGTCCTTTTCTAAGACATTTTTACCTTTTCCGTTGTTCTAAACTATGTCATTCATGAAAGAGAGTTCTAATAGAAAAATGTGTCACACGAACTAAATAACAAAGCCTCCAATTCCAAACCAGTTTAAACACATAAAGCTTCATGAAAACCTGTCAAACACGCTATCATTGACAGTTTTATTATAAATCTTATAGGATATTTTATGGTAAATTTGAAGATCACATTGTTCGGTTAAACTACCTCTTTCTCTACTTCTTATTCCTTCTACCCTCAACCCCAAAACAAGGCAATTAAGCAAAATTGTATATTGAATTATCAAGTAACCACGAAAAGAAATGACATTTATTTCAATCTGAAAATTTGATGGAACAAACACATAAGGGATAAAAGTTCCACATTAAGCAAGCTTTCTCTTTATTGAAAGGGAGTCAGGTAACAAAAAAAAATAAAATAAAATTCAGAAATTAAACTAATGGCTTAAGATTAATCAAAATGCAATTATTACATTCTAAAATCCATGATTGCTGGGCATTCACGGGAAAAAGTCCCAACACGGGTCTTTCAAGGGACTAGAAAGGCCTCACCCAGCCATAATTGCTGAATAATGCTTGTCACCCTAGAGAAACAAACCAGGCTTGAGATACCTCTATACGTACTTTCCAGGAAATTCTCGTCTTTCTGGAATTCCTAATAAACCTCACTAACAGAAAATAATAATTTTCACAATCAGCTAACAATAGTAAATGAATCTAAGGAAAACATACACTGCACTTGGAAATGTCCGTATGAAAATAACAATTTCCAGATTTACACATGTTCCTTTTTTGGTGGTATTTTGGATTGTCTGATTCTTTAACACCAAAGCATCAGAGAGATGATCTGACTTTCATTTTATTTTGTGTTGTCCATATCTGAATAAAGAGGAAATTAATTTCTTAGAAGTTCTCTCTGACCCTTTTTCTTCACCTGCTCTTCAACGGCTGTACAATGAGCACGTGGCAGTGGCCAAGTCGTGATGAAAAGCCGTCTCCCGTGGCAGTCGTCTGGAGGGGCTTGACCTAAGCACAGGAGTTTGTCTGCATCTTTGCGCCACAGAGGCTGGCTTCCTCTCTGCCTATTGATCAGTAATTCATTTTTATTCAATCAACATTCAGAGGTCGTGCCGAAGCATGAATCCTCTTATCCTTCATTAGCTCTTTGGTTTACATCACGATTAATCTCATGGAAAGACCAACTCACCTGGCGCAAACTCGCCCCTGGACCTTCCACTCCCAGTGGGTGTTCCGCCACCTTTGTTGCTGCGTAGTATTTCACCTTGGTTGTGGCCCGAATGACTCCATCACAGTGGACATCAACGTTGACCAAGCCGGCAGGAAATTCTTATTTAAAAAAACCCCCAAAATCCAGGAGAGTTAGAAGCTGAGGATATAATGTATATTCATACTATAACATCTTTCAGAGAATATGAAAAAAGCCTGTAAGAATTCGTAACAATTTTACTAACCTCTAGCACTTAAAATGTTTTTTCAATCCTTAGTAGTTAGAAACCACAAAATGGCATGTAAAATTTTGGACTTGTTTTAAAAAAACTTAAAAGATAAAAACACATGTTAAAATTATAATGAAAGCAAAGCACTGTATCTTTTCTCCCTGTTTACTAATGTCCTTTTTAAAATAGTGGTCTATATTCATTTTTACATAATACTTAAGAATTTAGAAAAGTAAAGCCATTCATCAAAAGTTAGGTGTTCATTATTAATCTTATGAAGAAAATTTCAATTAATTATAGGCAAGTTTCTCAAAATTGTGTTTGGAAAGAGTAGAGCTGACTGAAATTATAGAACGTGTATTCAGTTAATTGATTATAATGAAAAACTCTGTGAGAGGCAAGGTTTAATGTCTTGATACTTAATTACTATTTATACTGTACAATCATCCAAAGCCTTTTTGAGAAAAAATTGTTCACAGTGACTGATATAATGTATTGTGAATTCTGCTGTAATAACAGATTTAAAGTTATATAAGAATTTAGGGCTTTCCATGAAATAAGGAGAATAAATAATCACTTTAATAGAAAAGTTATTGTATTCAGTATAGCAAAAGCAAACACAATTTAGCTCTTTAAATTCATTTGTAGGACAAGCCTTAAAAGCTTTTATTCTGTCATGGAGATATTTCCCAAATTATCCTGGAAAACTGTCAGCCAACCATCTGAGGTTTGGACTAAGTCATTAAATATAAGAGCTCTGAATATTTGAAAGTTCTTAAGGTTTAAGTATGAATTTTACTTTATCTCATGAAGCTGTTAAAGGACCTCTTATGAGATTGCTCAAGGGAAATTTAAAGGCAACAGAAGCACTCTTAAGCTTAACTAGGCCAAGGAGTTGAAATTTCCTCCTCTTATGTTGCTTGACTAAACACCTAACCTGTATTATAAAGATGTATGTAGCAAAAATAGAAGTTCTTTCTTCCAAAAGAAGTATCCAATCCAATGGAGAATATAAGAAACCACAATAAAAACTACAAGTTGTAAAGCGCATCTCATCAGCCAAAGCAGTGGGCATGTGAGGAAGGGGGCTGTAGTGTTACTGGAAGCAACAAAATAGATTTCAGTAGATTTCATGAAGAGGATTTTTTAAATTTAAATGTTTTATTGTGGTAAGTCATAAAATGATTTTGAAAGAAGATATTAATTTTGTTTATCTGAAAAGAAATCAGGAGTTTTACCATAGGGAGTTAACCTTCTGAAAGAAAGTCAGGCAATAAATCATGAGAGATATATGGTGAGAAGGCATCTGGAAGTTCTTTGATACAGAATACTTAAAATCATCCACTTTCTTTAGAATCTAAGATGAAAATGAACTGATTTATTTCTGATATATTGAGTCATTAGTTGACTCAAATCTTTACCAGTGAATCCACTGAGAAAGATGCTGATGTTAGGGCAACCCTCCAAAGAGATGTTCTTTGAAGTATTGTGTTTGCTGCATACACTTTCGTATCTGTGGAGTGGCAGTTATTACTATACATCAAGACCTAATTACTACTCCCACTTGTACAATAGAGAGGGACTCAGGATGGATTCTTCTGGCTGGGATGCCCCTTTTAATAATTGAATTGGCCTTTTCATGAATACTGCTTGAGCATTATTTTACTTTGTTCACTATGATGACTACATTTTACAGCACTTAAGTAAAAATAAAAACCAATTAATTTAAGCACACAAATAGAAGAGAGTAAGATTAAATTCTGCTATTTACCATCTAGACTAAAGTAGTCAAGATAACATTTAACAATGGAAGGGCAAGTGGATATAGGTCAAGATCACCAAACCAAGCAAGGGTGTCATGGCAGTCAGCCGTGAAGAGGAAAAATGGCAAACAGTAGAAGGAAAAACTGGAACTCCTTGCCCCGTCAGAAATCGGTACACAATAAAGTGTAATTACAGAGAAGCAATGACAAAATGAATTCCATTTCAATTTCAAACCTCAAATTCCAAGCCCTTCAAACGTTTTTGTCAACCTTCTATTTCTCCATGATTTAAGTGGTCTGTCGAGTGCAAACTGAAGGAATTCACGAAAAATATAATTCAAATGTATTTCTGAATACTCAAAATATTTCACTACATTCATAAAAATAGATATTTCACCAACCCACTCATTTAAGAGCTCTTTTCCTTGTGTATTTCCATTGTCTGAGAAGCTGTGTTCTTTATGAACTAATTTTAGCTCCTTCCCATACGGTAAACATGAATGAACCCACCCAGCGCCTCCAGGAGAACTGAAATCAACCTGGCTCTGTTTCATTAGAAGGTTATCATTAAATAAAGATAGGGGACTTCAAAACCTTGGTCATGCCTAACAATCAGTATCCATTTAAAATATGTTAAAATTGTTTTCCTGAATTATAATATCTAGAAAGATTTATTATAGATTGTTGTTATTTTCCTAAGCAGGTTCAGGATAATATTTGGCATATCCTGAAGTATTTTTCATGATTTCTCATGCTGTTCTAATGAAATATAAAGATATAATTTACAATATTCAGAGCCCAGTTTCTTAGTTAATAAAGAGATTCTGTACCTTTGTGTATACATTATGTATTCCTTTCAACTTTTAATTGGCTGTCTCCCTGCTGCGCTAAATTTTTTTTCTAGTTATGCTATAGGTACCAGAGGAATACCCTCTTCCTTCTGCTTAAAAATTACTCAAAATTCCTAGTTTAAAGGCTTCACATGCATTTTCACAAGTCTTGAGATAAGCTAGAAGTATAGTAACTTTAAATTCCTTTAGCACAAAACAGTCCCTGTCAGATACAAACCTAAGGACATCATTAGGAAGGTGTGTTTTCTAGAAAAATGAAGTAATTATAGGTGTATCAAGTGATTGAGCTAAGAGGAAAGAGGAAATGGCAAAACTAGAGGATATTTTCTCAAATAAAAATGTCAGGTTAATATGTGGAATTGTGTCAGAAGGAGAAGATGCTACTTAGAAAAAGAGCATCTAAGGATTTCCTCACTGGTCAGCATAACTGTACTTTAATATAATTTCTGGGTTTTTTTCTACATTGTTACCAAGTGAAAATATCTGGCACTGGTGCTTTCTTTTATGGAAGGTCGATAATTAATGATTCAATTTCTTTAAGATATAGACCTATTCAGATTATCCACTTCTTGTGTGAGTTTTGGGACCATCAAGGGATGGTCCATTTGTCTAAGTTATCAAATTTGTAAGCACACAAAATTTTTTATTCATATACTCTTTATTATCCTTTTTATGTCCATGAATCAGCAGTAATGACCTCTGTTTTATTCCTGACATTGGTAACCCATGTCTTCTCCCTTTCTTGGTTTTGAAGGCTAGAAGTTTATCAATTTTGTTGATCTTTCAAAAGAACCAGCTTTGGGTGTTGCTGAATTTCTCTCTTATTTTCCATTTCATTGTTTGCTGCTCTAATTTTTATTATTTATTTTCTTCTGCTTGCTTTGCACTTAAATCACTCATCTTTCTCTGGTTTCTTAAGATGGAGGTATAGGTTATGAAATTCCAGATGTTTCTTCTTTTCTATTACAGGTTTTTTTTTTTTATTATTATTCCAGGGTATTGTGAGGGTACGAACATTATAGTTACACTTTATGTCTTTGCCTCACCCAAGTGCGGGTTAAAGGCATGCCCTTCCCTCCCTTTAGTGCTCCC